ATGAGATCACAAACCTGACTGAAGCGCTGTTGAAGAACTTCGTGTTCCCAGTGTAAACTCCGAAGCTCTTCTTCTTGAACTTTAAGTCGTGCTTTGGCACTCTACAAATTGAAAATAAAATCGAATTGTTTCTTTTTATCAGTCTCTTTCGAAAACAAGTTATGCCCTGCCGTGCATCTTACAACTTCAGCATCGTCCACTACTGAAAGAAACCCGCGCCCCATTAAAGAACAGCTTCAAAATTCCAAACCTCTTTGTAAAACGGCGACAGCTGAAGATTAGAGAAAACCATCACATTTACAAAAACGTTGGAGTGTTGTTAAGCTACATTTAATTATATTTTCCTTCATTCCTCCTCTTTGCGTTGTAAATTAATGTCTACATGCACTACCGAGTTCTGATTCAACAAAAAGGAAGACACCCAATACTTATGAAAAAACTAACATTTACAAACATTAAGGAGAGGTTAAACGTGTTACAATTTGACCAGTAGTAAGGATCTTAAGTCGCAGCCGATAAATCGTTTTCTACCCACAAAGTGGAAAAATCTCCCTTTTGTGATAGTAATACTTACTGCCAAGGACGCTTTGTCTTTTTCATAGTTTGCAAGCTGAAGAAAAAAGAAATAAGGAATAATTAATACGTAATAATTCTTAAACATTTTAAACTAATACTGTGATTGTTATTGTGGGCTCACTTTAATCACAGCTGCCTCAAACTGAATAATACAGTTTGACACCACTGTTCTCACTGCCGCTGAAATTTTTGTACCTGTCTGACGCCCTCAATTGCACACACCCCCCCCCGCTTTGCCACCGTGTGACAAAAAAAAGTCTTAGTCCCCCCGATCAAAGAATTCAACCTGAGGCCTTCAGATTTTGCTATCCAGAATTCTTTGACACCGAGTTGTAGAATGGTCTTTGACTACAATCTGCCACAAAATAGCTGTCACTGCCGCTGAATTTTTTGTTGCAAACGCCCTAATTGGACCTCCTCATTCCCTGTACAATGTTTCCCTGTACAATGTTTCCCTGTACAATGTTTCCCTGTACAATGTTTCCCTGTACAATGTTTCCCTGTATAATGTTTCCCTGTACAATGTTTCCCTGTACAATGTTTCCCTGTACAATGTTTCCCTGTACAATGCACCCTCAATACTGCTCTGTTAGAAGTCAAATTTATAGCGACTTTTTTCCAACCACTTGACTTTAAGTCAGAGTTTCTTTAGTCACTAATAAAAAATAATTCAAAAGTGTTTTGCTTGGATAAAGTTGAAAGTTGAGAAAAAACTGTCACAATATTCCTTCATAATATTTGCTGTTTAGTTTCACCTGTTTTCTCAGTTCTTCCACCTCCTCTCTGGCTTTCTGTAATGGTTCTGTTAATCTCTTATTCTCTGCCATGATTTCATTCATTTGTTTCTCCATTCTCTCATCCTTCTTTTTCATCTCCTCGACTTGTTCCTGACGAAAATAATAAACAAGAACTGATGAGGTGACTGTTTTCTAAACTTACTCGTCGCGCTCTGTCATTTAATTCTGTTAACATCTTTGTTGGGAAAATACAATTACCACACTGGTAAGTGCCCTACGAAATTGTAAAATCCAACTCTCCAACTTCCAGTTCAACCTGGAAACATTGGACAAGAATCGCCACTTCATAAAATGTCCGGTGCTAACTTCATATTAATATTATTATTAAAATTGAAAGTTTAACAGCATTGTCTTACCACTGAAATGGTTACAATTGTTGGAGGGTACCTGGCTTGAAGTTATTTTTACCATTTTGGTTTTCTATTTCTTTTTATAAGCTATAGTTTCAACCTTGTTACCATTTTGGTTCTTACTTTTGGCCGATTAGATATTAAGCTTCTTTCTTTTTTGTATAAAAATTTCTGTAAATCTAGCAAATGTGCTTCATCATGAATTACCTTCAGAGAGTTTATTAGAGCCAAATTATTCAGTGTTATATCATTGTAGTAATTCTTGATGTCACTGAAGGCTTTCTCGTGATTCTTCATCAAGGTGTTGATTTGACCATTCTTGCGCTGAAAAGAAAAATATTTAAAGTACAAGCAGATATTAATACTGTAAGAGTATCACAAAGATGGACACAATAAGATAAATCAGTCTATAGGCACGTAAGATACTGCATATAAACCCCTCAAGCTTGTATCTTTTTGTTGCCATAGTGAATGTACAACAAGTTGGTGACGAAGTCTGCAGGGAGAGTCATCAAGTGGGAAGTTGTAATGTTCTTATGACTTGATGTTTGAGTGAAACTTATTAATTAAAGTGAAATAAACATTTGCCAACGTTAAATTCCATTTTTGTTTCTTGTTTTTTTTTCTTTAATTCTTGCTTAATTTTCGTTTTACCCTTTTTTCCCCTAATGAACAAAACCATTATTTACTAAATAAATGCTGCTTTTTGCATTGTAGTGTTTACAAAAATGCCACACAAAATATGTGCATGTATATTAAAAACAATAAGGATCAAACCTCTTCAATTTCATGTATTTCAGTTTTTCTCCTCAGCTCTAGTTCCTCTCTGAGTGCCTTCATTTTCTTGTCATACTTTGACTCAATTTCTGTGAAAAAGGTCAATTAACCAACATTTTAAGTGGAGAATATATTTGTTAGAGGAAGCAAATTGTTCTTCCTTATGGCAAACAAGTAAGGCAGAAAATTGCTTTTAATGCAGCAAAAACCTTAATAGTGAGTTACTTAGAACTCTCCTTCACTTACCTTTAACTTGTCTCTCAAAGTCTTGTCTGAGTTTTGTTACATGCTCATCCTGACCCTTTAAAATTGAAAAACAAAAATGTTTGTGATTAATAAAATACAAAATCAAACAGCTATGGTACAAAAATCTGAAACTTTTTGTATTGACATGAGCTGATACGTAAATGACAATTCAATTTGTTGTAGTCACCTTCTTGAGATTTTTAACAACATCTTCATGAGAAAGTTCTTGTTCTTTTAGTTCCACCTGAAGAGAGATGATACACTTCACATAAAAAACCCTCATAACTAACACTTTAATCATCAGAACTTGAGCTGTACTACCCAAGATGCTCTTTGATATAATTCCCCATAAATTTGCAAACCTCCACACTCCAAAAGCAGTATGCATGTTCTCCATACTGTTGTCTATACTTTTCCTTAGGTGTTGACTGGGACAATTTGTTTAACAATCAAGAGCTGCTTTTTTTTTATGTTATTTTACATAATGAACAATATTCAGAAGGGATATATATCCAGGTACCTTGAGAGATCTCTTGTCCTTTCTCAGGTCTTGCTCATTGCCTTTGTGGTCGTCTTGCGCTAACTTCAATGCCACAGCACCTAATGACAAAATTGGCAGGAAATAATGATGAAAGTACTTTTTTGAAATGTTTTAACAAAGAGCGGGTTAACTTTGTGCTTTTTAACAATTACACTTTGACTTGAATCTCTACACACAAACTAGGAAATCTGCTACAGCATTAGATACAGCTTCTCTTAACTTTCTAATACCACAAAAAACACCTTATCAAAGAGGTTTTCTCACTTAACACTGCTCACCAAACATACAGTCAAGTACACATAGTACCATGGGAAGTACACCAATAAAAGTTTTAAAACCATTATAGAAATCAGTAGATGGTTCAATCCCAGGAGTGACATGATCATGTACAGTTACTGTCTGGGTGAGGGCAGTCCTGAGAAGGACTGTCTTTGGTAGCAGTAACTAAGGTTTTGACAACCTGAGTGGAAGTCATCGTCAGAATCAATTTGAGTGTACTAAGTGCAGTTCCTTGCACGAACTAGACTCAACTGAAAAATTATGACTGATATAGTACAACACATAAAGTCTTTGCTTTAAACTTCAAAAACTGTGAAACTAAGAAACTTAAGAACCCTGTACTGTTATTGCATAGACAGGAACATTAGCCAATCCAAAATAAGCAAACAACACTGTAAGCAGTCAATGCTTTGTTGTGGTTTCTTGGTTTGTTTTAGATCTCTGATGTGATTAGTACATCATAACCCAACATATTCATTATTCTACATATTAATTACCACTTCACCACCACACTGGTATACTGCCAAGGGATACTATATAAAAAAATTTGGAGTTTCAAACAGAAATTTACATGCAGGTGCTAAGTGTGTCAGGAAACGATTTGAATGGAGGTAATATGGAAAAGAAGAAAGAACACACTATTCTTTCTTTTTCATTTCAAAGGTTTTCCTTCATTAAAAACTTCTACAAGGATTACAAACCCATTACAAATGTGTCTTTCTGGTTGGGTAATAAGTCAATTCAAAACAAGCTGTACCCCCTCTAATATGGACAATCAAGGTCAGTTGATCCTTTAAAGTCCATCTTGAGGGATTTGATTGATCATATCCAAAATATTATATCATTTTGTGAGCTTCAAAGTGAAGATTTTCTAATTTTATTTTTTAATATCTCAGGTTACTTACTTTCAGCTTTAAGTTCTGCAATGTTGTTCTGGTGTTCATACAATAAATGCTTCACTTTCTGTTTGTAAACTTTGATTTCTACTTGGTGCCTTTCCTCTGCCTCCTCCATTTCCCTGTCTTTGTTACGTAGCTCTGCCTTTCTTTCTTCAAGCTGTCGTTTTGTGATTTCCCAAAAAGTGTTCACTTTATCTCGCTCCAGTTGAAAGTAATTGCGTTCTTCACGTTCTCTATCTAACTCCTCTCTTAATCGGACAATGTGTTCTTCCAACTGTTCTTTACTCATCTCCTCTGTGCTAATTCCATCTACTATTGTAGGTGTCTTCGATTTGGCAGACTTCTTTTTTCCTTTCTTTTTTCCACTTTTCTTTTTAGGAGGCTATTCAGGGAGAAAAAAGCGAGAATCTCTTTAACATATGAGTATTTTCTTTAGATAACTAAAAAGGGCACCAAGAGGAGGGACGGGTCCCTGCATGATCTGGTTTCACACACATACACACACACACACACACACACACACGCACACACACACACACACACACACACACACACACACACACACACACACACACACACACACATTTTAGAAAAAATTCACATGCCCATGTACTTCAAACAGTAATCCATGTGCCTAAAATTTTGAAGGGAAAACTTCAAATCTCTCTTACCTTGCCTTTCTGTAATCACATATAAACTGCCTTTCACAATGTCATATAAACTGTTTACCACCCTCCACAGACACCATAAGGAATCTTGACTAAAATATTATTCCCCATACCATAGAACCATCTCCTTTTTCATTACAGTGCCTTGACCTATCAGACTACATGTATGCTTTCATTAAATGTAACAGCAAAATTAAAGTATGGGTAAGCAACCTGGTTGTTACAGGCTTGTTAAAATCATATGAATCTAGTTCATCATATATCATAGTCACAAGGTAAAGCTAGTGAAGAAAGTGAATACATTTGAAGTTCAGCACATTTAGCTTCTACTAATACAAATGATCATCATGATATCTAAAGCAAGATTGTTCTGGAATGGATACTGACACCATAATGTAAAACATAAAAAAACATATCGTAAAGTCGACGAACTTAAATTAACAATGACTTACAATCCAAAATATAACAAAGGCTAGCAAAGTTAAAGCTACCAAAGTTAAAGCTACCCTGCATTATATAACAGACGTATATGTGCACGATCCTTCGCAGTAAAGCACTATTTGAGCAATAGTGAAAAT